ACAGCACCCTTGAATTGAGGGGCTCCTCCTCTGAGAGAAGCTTTTGTTCCAAATTACTTTTTAAATGCTGATGATTATTATGTGCAGTGTTATAATAAATGCAATTATTCTGCCATTTCTATCAGAAATATTACATGGAAAACAAAAGATATGCTAAGCTGAAGCCGACTCGTGATGGTGTAGTACACCTTCATGCTGCACAGATGATACATCTGCTGCATCAGAAAGTTTCGGCACGTTGCCTGAACTTGTGCACTGTGGTTATGGTGACAGAAAAAAAAAAAGCATATGTAAAATCTGATAGGACTGCAGCCTATCCCTGTTGCCATTACTGTTGCTTCAAGAGCTCTAAACAGTTTTCTATTCCAGTTTTTGATTATTCTCCACAAATTGAATGCAGCACAGTACATGAATGGCTGATTTTAAACAAATAATCTGAACATACAGTTTGACAAGTATGTCATGTTTACCTGAATATTCACTCAGAAATATTTAAAGGTCTGAAACGACTAATATTTCAAGTATTTTCAAGTATATGAGTTTTAAGACCCAAACTACAAATGCTTTATCTTTGCCAATTCAAGCATGAGCTGCTTGTTTCTGCATGTGCACTCATATATCTGTAGAGGAAAGTGGTGCTTTTGGCACTCCCAGTCATTTTATTCATGCATTTTTCAGGCACAGTTTAAGAGGCTGCTTCTCAAACTAGCCACCGTTATTGTGTCCTGTGTCCCCCATTGACTTCAGTAGCAGCAACGTGCGCAGAGGATTTCTGAGGGTGCTAAAAATGTCAAGCAAGGTATTGAGTGAAGGGGAAACCATAGCAGTAACGAAAGCTCCCTGCAACAATCAGGTTCTGATACTAAAATGCTGGATTACTGCATATAGTGTCTAATATGTTTACAGGTAGGACTTACATATTTTTGAAAGCATAAACATTTCCTCTATCCCAGTGTTCAAGAACAGCAAAAATCTTCTTGCTTTTCAGTACAACTATAAAAATTTCCAGGAAATGATTGTGCTCCTCTGTTAACGTGTTCACAACGTGATGACCAACATCCTTACAGTTTATAGTATCAGTTTAGTAACGGTATTGCTACAAGGAAGATCTCGGGAGCGCCTAGTTTTAGGAACCTTGCAAACATTTGCATGCAGCACCTCCATTTACAAGAGCCCCCGGGGACCCCGCTGCAAATCAAAACCGTTTGTTCTTCCATGCATAGTTTCATTGTGGTCTTTAAATATTAATGAAAGCGGGCTCTTTGCGTTTTGCCACAGCCACACCAAAAAACATGCTCTCTTTGAAGGCTTGCATGCATGCAGGGCGCTCGCTGTGACTTAGGGTGGTAGAAAGTAACATTCAATGAACATAAAGCAGCACTTAGGCAAAAGAGAGAGGAGAGGAAGCAGAGTTTTATAGATAAGTGCTCAAACAACAGGGGCCTGCCAGCAACCGTTACCCATCACTGTAGCTCAGGTTTTATGCTACTACCTGTCTTTTTTATGCGTGCCCTGTAAAATCAGTGTCAATCGCAAGGGCTTCAGAAAGTCTTTGACTCTTCTCCCTTTTAAAGGTCAGGGCTCCACTTTTTAATTGAAAGAACAAAATGCAATTGAGCCTGGCCATAAACATCACTCCTTTATTACATGCCCGAGGAGGCTCAAAGGCTGCCAAAATAATATGTCAGGGTCTTTTGGGGGGTGCCCAGGGGAGGGGAAGGGGTGACAAGAACTTATGAAATCTCTTGGAAAAATGAGATGTTGTTTGAGCCCGAGGACCACAGCGGCTACGGCAAGACTTACCGCTTGCTGCAGCTGGAGCAGGGAGAGCAGGGCTCACATCCCCGTGAGCTCATGCTGACCACTGTGATGGCCTCCAAGTATTTGTTTAATGGCTTTTTTGGTAAATATTTATTTTCTTTTGATCAAAACCATGACGTTTTATTTTGACAACTCCCTTCTCCTCCCCTAGAAAAAACCTAAGCAGCGCTAGGTCTGGGGAGCTGGGGGGCGGTTTTAGTTTGTTTTGGTTTACTTCTCTGCTGTAATTCCAGGGAAGTGCAGGGAGATGAAGACGACAGACTGAAAATGCTTTGATTTTGGAAAATGGGATGTTTTCCACTTTTTCTTTCACATGACACATTTTCATTTCCATTAGAAATTTTCACCTGAAAGATATATCATTTTTTGTTTGGCTCTGATATTTATTATAACTTATCTAATGGCTTACAAGCTTTGTTTTACAAGCTTCAAAGATCACTTCAGGGTGACTATACTACCAGTAAATACATGTTTTGTCTAATCTTAATATGTCTGCGTATTCCTAGAGTGATCTTCAGCACAGATCCTGGACAGAAATATAAATTTCTGAATAATTTTGTCATTGCTAATCATTTTAATTATTTACTCATAAGGAAGTATAAAAGAATAGAGAAATACTTCTATTTTCTTTTTTCCAAAAACAGTGAATGCAACAACCGCTTGTTTCCCTCTTGGTTTTTATCAAGGCTGTCGTGCTCACACATGCTTGTCTCCTGGGTCATCCCTGTGCATGTTCTTCTGACTAGAATTTGGGGATTTGGGGCCATTGGTTTATTTTGCCAAGTCCAGGCTTAGCATCCTCCAGTGAATACATCTCTAATGCCTTCCCTACTTGCTTCTCCAGTTTCTCTACAAAAGTGTCCTGCTTTAGTAAACTTTTGCCAGTTAAAGCACTTCTCTAGTTTATGGCACACATTTCTTTAAACTGTCATTGCTATCTACAGTGTGAGACCGTTTCCTGGTATCTTTATGATAACTGTCTTCAAAGTTAGTGTGTGATACGTTGTTTACCGTACCATCTATCTCTTACACAACGTTCTGAATTGAAGTATCAAGAAGTATTGGAACCAAGGCTTAACGCTGGCAATTTTCAGCAAGCTATATTGGATCGTAGTCATCGTAACATTTTTCATTTAATTTCTTAGCCAGATTTATCCAAGATGCTATTGAAAATTTCCCTCATACATTAGGGATTATAAAACATTTTTGAAGACCTATATTCTATAAGAAGCCTCTGTCCCTTTGCTCACTGTGTATATCTCTGAGTACAGAGCTATAACATGAATGTCCCATAATTTCCAGAAACAATTAGGTAGGACTCTGCTCCGTATCAAATTCTTCTTTCTTTTTCCCCAAAGCCTGAAAAGGCCCATAGTTAAGAAACCTTTCTGTTCTTCCTATTTTCATTTTATATATCTTATTTCACTCAAGAAATTTCATCCTAAGAACATAAATTGCCATTAATACAGCAAAAAATCCCAGTTGATTGCGTGCAGATGAAAGACCTTGTTATATACTTACATCCTGATTTAGACTAATGATGGACTTATTTTAGGCTTCTCTGTTTTATGCAGCATTGTAACATTCTGCCTGACCCTTTTTCTAATTCCTTAGCGTGTTTCGCCTGCACTGAATGATTTCTGAGTGTTAAGGAGATATATCACCATTTCCTCTGATACTTATTTAAAAAGGATTCCACTTTTATTGCCTGTCTTCTCACTGGAATCATAGCACTCCTTACCTCTTTCTACAGCTATTCCATCTTCATTTAACTCAGGATGCTTCATATTTCCCATTTTTCAGCTTGCTGGTAAAGTATTTGTTAGGGGTGGTGTTCCCCTTCTGTTTTCGTGAGAGAAGAAAGAATACACCTTCTGCCATGAACATCTCTCCCTGAAAGAAGGTGGTGCTTTTGTGGATCGCCTATAACCTTCTCACATGTCTGCATTTACTGGGCTACATCACAGGAATAATAATACTCACCCAGAGCTTAATTACAAGTTGCTTGAAATGTATTCAAGACCTCTGGGGAAAACTTGACCTATAACTTTTCCTTTTCTATTTTCTGCTTGGTACCTTTAAGTGCCGTCTTTGCTCTCTTTTCGTGAATTCTTTGCCGGTACTAAAACTGTTTTCTCTTGTATTCCTTCCCCCAACTTTCAGTTTTTTCCTAAAGTAAGAAGCAATCATCTATTTAGCCTTGATAGCTACATCTTTGTTCTTTCAGTACAACTATACTGCATCGTGCAGTGTTAACTCTCAGGACTTTCCATTTTTCAGCTTTTGCCAAAAGTAGGGTAATTAAAATGACTCATTAAAATGAGGTCCTATGACTTTACAGTCCCACAGCTCTGTCAGAGAAACCTCTCTACCCTCTTTTTGACAGACCATCCAATCAAATCTTTCCTCTTTTACCCTATTTGATGAAATGTTACCACTTAGTTCATTACCCACCACTGTTTCATGTACTTTGACGGCAGCGTACGCTATGTTTGATCACTTGAGGGACACACAACCTGATGGACAGAGCCCAGAAGTGAAGCCTTTGTCCTGGATGGCGATGACTTGCACTACCATTCCCGACTACCTCCCAAAAACAGGAGAAGTTGGGGATATTGAGAAGTACGCCAATAGGCAGGTTAGAGAGGCAGAAGACAATTGTCAAAAAGCAAGAGGATTAGAAGCAACACACGCAGTCCTCAAGCCAAGCCACCTGGCTCCTCTCCACTACAGCCTCCTCGGCCCTCCCTCCCTGCTCCCAAGCTTGCCTTCTCTCTCTGGTTTATGCCCATAAGACGTGTGGGCTCTACAAGGCAAAACCTCTTCTGCTTAGTTCTGCAAAGGACCCTGCACCCTTTACATGTTCCTCCGCCTTAAGTCAACGTGAGGGAGCTAAATTCTCATGTGTCTTTGCAAACAGCAATACTAAGATTTTTTTCCTTCACGGCTATGTGGGAACAACACACACTGTGAATGCAGTGGTGGAAAGGAGCACCCCTGCAGACAGCAGCTGGTGGCCTGCTGAGCAGTCTCCATGCAACCAGTCCTTCAGCCACCAGCTAGATGTGTGACAGGCCCACTTCCAGCACACCGCAAGAGGCAATTTGCTCTCCCCAGGAAGCGACGAGGAGGCAAGAGCAGCGACACAGGCGGGGGATGCCCCGGCTCGCTATACTCACAGCACGCAGAGGCAGTACACTCCCGGGATGCTCTCACTGTCCCTCAGCAGGTAGCTGCCATCAAGCCCCGAGTCCAGCAGCAGCTTCTCGCCGGCCTCCCGCGTGATGCTCCCATGGTACACTGGCAGTGACTCCATGGCGGCCTGGCCACCGGAGGCCTTGTCCCAACGTGGTCGACACGGCGGTGCTCACGGCGCACGGTGCTGCCTCCAACTGCTCCTCAGCTGCCAGCTCCCGTCAGCATCTGTGACTCAAGGGTAGATGTAAACAGGATGTGTTCACACCTCGAGTGTCTTTTGGGGCTGGCGGTGAGGCACAGGAAAGAGTGAGGAACGAACATGGCTTTCTTTTTTTTTTTTCTCAGGCTGTGACATGCTCACAATGTTACACCCGTTACACCGAGGTGCCATCTCACACACTGCTCTCGCTCACGCAACCCAAAGCTCGACGGAGACACGCAGTGACAAAGTGCACAAAGACCGTGAGCCCATAGCGAAAATAAATGGGACCGATGGCCCTTCCCCAGCTGTCCAGCGAGCGTGCAATCTGCTTGGGGTTTCGGAGCGCCAATATCACAGCACCATCTGGCAGCGTCTGCGGTGAGGCATTTGTCTCTTCCGGGCCTAAAACAAATGCTGGAACAAAGAAGGGTCAAACGGGCCCGCAGCGGGCGCCTGTGGGATGCCACGGCATGAGCACAGCCACAGCCGCCTGCCCCGGTGGACACCCAAAGGTGCCATGCAGTGCTTGGGAAGCAAAGATACTTTTTTAACTTTTTATCTTTAAAAACCTTTATTACCACATGCAAAACATGCCACTCCTGGCTAGTGCGCCTGGCTTTGTATGGCCCCTGGCCCTGAAGCCAGAGCCGCAGGAGACTTGCCAGCTCGAAACATCTCACCAGCCCTCAGCCCCCTGCAGACAGCCAGGCAGAGGCGCGAGAAACTGCGGGAAACAAGCCGGTGACCATTTCCCCCACCCTGCACATGCCTCCAGCCTGGGCCAGCGGCACAGAGCAGGCACCGCGGCTGCTCCCGCAGCAGGGCCAGAGGAAACCCAGCCCCCGTGCAGGAACGGCCCCGTGCCGAGGGTTCCCTGCTGCGTACATGGTCTTAATATCAGAGATGCTAATCGTTTCTGCTCGGAGGCAGACTGTGCTTTATTGCCAGCACTTTGGCATGCCAACCTCATGGTGCTCAGGGCTGTATATTTTACGGACCCCGTTTGACATTTTAAAATGTTGTTCCTTCAGCTTTTCAAAACAGCCGCATGCTTTCTGCCTGCAGCTCAGCACCGGCTCCCCGGCAGATGGAGGCAGCAGCCTCCTCGCGGGCCGGGAGGCCCCACACATCCTTCCTGGCACCATCGCGAGCAGGTGCTCTAGCGCGATACGCCAGCCGGTTGCAGGAATCCAGAGACCTGGCTGAAAAAGATGTTTCTCGCCACTCCTGCGGTCGCACGCATTTCTTTGGCACGCTGATAATTTGAAACCTCCGACACGTTCCTGCTTGCAAACGGCTCTGTTTGCAAACAGGCTGAAAATTTACTTTTTCCCTTTACATATTCCCATTCATGGAAAAACTGAGCCCGCTTGCTGAAGCTGAACAGCTCCACGTGGCAATACCGAGACTGCACTGCTCTCCATCCCGCCGGGCTCGTCAGGCTGCAAGGAGCTCGAGACTGAACTCATCCCAGGGGTGTTAGAGTATTTACAAGCAGTTAGAGTATTTAAAATCAGTTGTTAGAGTATTTACAATACAAAGTACAGCTACTGCCTACTGCAAATGGGATTAATGTGGATGGTGACAAGGGATAAGCAAAGCACCATTCCCTTGTAAAGCTGCTGCATGTTTTTTCTCCTTTTTCAAACTACCTTTACTCTGGGGGATTTCGTCTAACTTTCCCATTTCTCAATCTATTTTCAATATTAATCATTGATTTCAGAAGTATGTGTGTTGTTAGCTGGAAAGGAAAGCAACCAGAATCATCCAATGTTGCAGATGTCATTTTCCCACTCATTGATTTCAGCCGAGGCGTTTATAGAAAATTACAAAACTTTTGACTATGAGAAGCTCTTTTAATTGCAGAGTCACAGTACTACCTGACTGAGCTGCACACTTCCAGCAGTTTGATGAAGCAGCATCTATTACTGAAAAAGAAAGGGCTGTAAACACTGAACTTTGCTTACGCTAGGCAGAGAACCCACAAAACTCCCACCAACAAGCCCCGAAGCCAAGGACCCCATGCAAATCCCTTAATGCCATGCTTATTAGGGGATATGCAGCTTTTAAGAAGTAATTGAAATGTTGAGTTATGTGACAAATGACACTAGGTAAGTGTCAAGGCATAGAGCAAAATACAAACTGCTCCAAAACCAATGACATTGGTGCTGCCAGTACTGTCACTGTTCTGCACCGTGCCACCGAGGCTGGAGAAGCCCTCCCTTGCCTCAAACAATTTGTCTTCACTGCAACTTTGTATGGCTGAAACCCAGACAGACTTGCACCAACTGCTCCATTTTTTGTCCACTTATTTTGAAACAAAGCTTTATCTTATGCAACAGAATTGTTGCTTGCCATCCTATTTATTTCATGACGCTGCACTCACTTGGGCCGAGAATGTAAACTGCAAAATACAGGAGTGGGCTCTGGCGAGTAGGAGAAACAGCTGAAAATCAAGCATCGAAGCTGCTCAGGTGAGGACTTAGCCTTCGTTGCCTTCCAGTGGAAATGGGTGATTTCTTTAAGCACTCCAAGGCTGGCCCTGTAGGATGTGGGATGGTCCCTTCTCTTGCTTGGTTTGGAGATCGGTTAGCATATTCGTGCATGCCACAGCTTTGGCCTCAGCTAAATCAGTCAAGTCCCTGCAATATGCTATAAAAAAATTATGTAAAAAATACATGAAGGAAAGGAAGTGCTTTAAAGTGCTCTGAAATATTTGGCCAAGAAAAACAGGCTTAGAAATATAGGCCTGCATAGACCTCTTGGGTCATCAAGTCTAGTTCCCTGCTACCTTAGCCAAACACATCATATAATCCCTTTCAGCAACTCATTAGACTCTGTCTTAAAAGCGGCTCAGCTTTGTTGTTGTTGTTGTTGCTGTTGTTGTTGCTGTTGTTCTTGTTGTTCCCACTGTTCTCATTGGAAAGCGATTGCAGAACATCACTATTCTGTTGTTTGGAAACATGCTTCCAGTTTCCAACCTAAATTTATTCATGGCCAATTTATACTCATTTGTTCTCATGCCAGTGTTGTCCTTTAGTTTAAATAGATGTTTTCTCTTCCTGGAGCTTAGGCCCACCAGTTATTTATAGAGCCCTCTCTTAGCCTTCATTTTCCCAAACTCCTCTCATAGTCAAGGTTCTCCCTTCCCATGGTCAATCTAACAGTCTTGCTCTGTAACTTCTCAAAAGTGAAACGAAAAATTTGTCAATTGTGTGCAATATCATGGCTAAATTCCAGCAAGTGCCTCATACACCATTACCGGTATTTTGTTACCCTGGTGAAAATGCCTTGCTTTGTATGTTCTAGGTCCCCTCCTTAGTCTCTTCTTACCTATAAGCATCCAGGTATAGTAGAATCCTGGTTAACTTGTACTCAGATCCTTATGAATTTCAGCCAATTTATCTTACTCTGGTCCTCAAGGTCACCCACTTCTTCCCAATGAGAATTTTATATGTCTCTATATTGACAGTATCTCCCTCCTTTATGCCATTGGTAAATTCTATTAATACATACCTATTTTTTATGCTATCATCATTGACAAAAAAATATTAAGCAGTATCAGGCCCAAGACTGATGCTTGAGAAACTCTACCTTCAACAGTTATCGTCTCCCACTACTTGCTTTCTTATCCACTTTTCAATTTTAGTACTAATCTTATACTTTACCTAATAATTTCCCATGTGGTCCTATACCAAATGCTGCACTTAAGTTTAGATAATTAGTTCTAAGCATGTTCTTTGTCTACAAAAATCAGCTATGATGATATTTCAGACACAGGAACTTGTAATGTACGTGAGAAGCGGAGGTAGAGGAGACAAAAAGAAATTACCTTAAATTTTTTGAACACCTGCAAAGATTTGAGCTGATTTTCATTTTCAACTGAACTGCTTCATTCATCCCTAATGATGACATTTTTCATACACTGTTGGATTTTATAACAATTCTAGATATTACAACACTAATGCAAGAGCATCATTAAAATTCTCAAATATTGTTATCTGACGGAAAATAAGAATAACCTTCAGGACCTTTATGAAATTAATGCCACTGCAGAACTGTTATAGGAAGGCCTTGTGTAAAGGGCTATAAAGCAAGATAAAAAGTAAAATACCTGAATTGGTAGTTTTGCTGATGCAGTGGTATTATCTTAAATACCATCGCTATTGAGCTACTGAAAAAGCAGCTTCAAAATCACCAGCTATTGCAATGTTTCTGAAAAAAAAAAAATTAACTGGCAAAAAGCCACATTAAAACACAACTAACTTTTAAAATGATTTTCATTATTTCATATCACTTTCATTTTTAGTGTAATCTAACAAAATATCCAGAACAACCGTACGGAATAGTATCTGTAGATAGATATTTATGTGGACTTGCTGTCCACAAAAGAAAGTAATACCGAGATTCAGTAAAACATTGGTTACTCTATACAGTACCTGTGGAGTCACTATTATCGTATTTGCTTTGCTTTTTGAGCTGAAATGAAAAAAAGATTAAAGAAAGCAGGCTGCAATCAGCAAACACCTAATTATCTGTCAGGTTCTGAGCATCAGTACAGAATGAGAATCCAAAGCAGCTTTGGCTTTCGGGTTACATATCAGCATACATTGCTACAGCCATCATGTTAGGCCAGCATCTGTGACATATGTTGTTTGGGGGGAAAAAAGGAAGGACAATTAGAAGATGTTTACAATAAGTAAAGTTTGGAACCAGATGTGGATTCCAAACTTTCTCTACACTCTAGGATAAATATATTGTTCAGATCTCATTGATCTGACCTTAGAGAAAGGACAATCTGGAACACTGGATTGTCACAGAACTGCCTAAATGTCTGGGTAATTGAGAGGGAGATTATAGATCCACACTTTTGCCCCCTTCAAATTAAATATAAGTCCTAGGTGAAATCTCCTTAACTCAGAATATTCTAATTCCTCACATGGCATATTAGCTTCCATTGGCCTATTTGCTATTTGGTCAATAAC